AAAAATCCTGGTTTCCATGTATAAATTAAAAAATAAAATACTACTTATAAATATATATTATGTAAGTATATATTATAAAATATAGGTACCTAATATAATAATTAATCTACTTAAACTAAAAAGTATAAATAGGTATATGTTAAATGTCACAGAAAAGTTTTGCAAAGAATTTTTTTAAACTAATGGAAAATACTAACAAATACAATTATAATATTAATAAATTGGTTCAAAATATACAGTTGGTAATTAAAGTAATTTTTAATATTAACGCCAATTAAAAAAAAACTATAACCATATAACTAAGTATATATTATAAATTATTATTTTTTTTTTTTTAATTATATTTTTTATGGATTTAATATTTACAAGTTTTTATGTTGGTTCTTATCACTCCATATATGTATGACTGTTCTACAGTTTAAGAAAATCTAAAGACTGTTATGGTGTTTTATTTTTTAGTTCAATCCTCAGATCGAAGAACATTGAAAATAGAATATACATTAACGATAATTTCTAACAAATGAGTAACGAAGTATTCACGTACATTTTTTACATTTTCAATGTGCAATGGTTTTCATCACATACTCGAAAAATAGGTATAAATATAAACAATAATAAGTAATATAAACACTATCAAATATATTTTTAAAAATAATCAAAATCTTGATCATCCTTAGATAAATCAATACAATTTAATTTTATTTATATTATACTGTAAATGTTATCAATAGTTATGTTTATTCTTCAAGTATTGATGTAATAATTCAGCGCCGTCTGCAAGCAATTAACTATGCAGCACGGTGTGGTAATTGCCTCCATTGACCCGTATGTTGGAGTTTGTGCCTAACCAGTGGCGTATATTCAATCTTGCTCTGGGGTGGGTTTAACAAAAAATAATCGTTATCTTTTTTTTTTCGTTGCACAAATAAATAAGACAAATAACTGCTATAAATAGATATTATTTTATACAACTCTTTTACCAATTTACAGTTTACTTTTACATTACAGTAAATTAATAGCTATTGGAATATAAAAACAGCATAGTTAACAAAACTTTTCAAACACCTATCAATATAATTAATTAATTATCATAATATTTGTATAGTTGAATATTTTAAGTTCAAAGCGTAATAATGAAACTCCGAATCTATATTACATGTCATCAATAATAAGACAATTTTTTTTCTTTTTGGCCCTGGGGGGGTTTAAACCCGGACTTTCCTCCCTTCTCCTCGTATGTACGCCACTGTGCCTAACAGTACTTTGGATGAATAAATGCGAAACCTCGAGGTAATGAATAATTCCATAGTTTCAGCGTGGTATAAATTTGAAATTTTTAGTTTCCTAAGTTCAATCATTTAATAGTTGCTTAAATAAATGTAGTTTCGACATTTACTATTTATACTATAAAATATGTTATCAATGATTCAACGATATTGTACAAAAAATTTTATTTTTTAAATTTTTAATTCAAGTTGAATTATGTTTAGTTTTTGAGAAAGTCTTCGCTAAGTAAATAAATATAAGTGATTAGTGGTAAGAAAATATTTTAAAATTTCATTCGTTATTAATATTTATTGATAATTTGTATTAGTACAATATTTACAATCATTTATGATCTAAATAATAAAATTAATACGATAAAATAATAGAAGTAATAATATTTTCTAATCAACCTTATCATTTTTAAAAGTTGTTTTTGACGTGATACCAATCATTATTTGACGTATTTAATTTAATAGTTACATGTATTATAATATAATTTTATACAAGCGAGTTTAGATGTCCTCTCCCAAAAATACCATTGGGTATTAGAGTTCGAAATGTAACGACTCTAACCAGGGCCGTATTAGCGCTTAGGCACTATAGGCACTGTACCTAGGGCCTACAAAAATGTGTGGCTACCATCTATACTATGCAAATTGGTAGAAAAAAAAATTTTTATGGTTATTGACAATTTATATGATATATATTTTGGATTAAAATACATTTTTTTAAACATTTGTTAAAACTTTTATCGTATAAAAATTTATAATAGTTATATAAAAGTTTGGATTTGATTTTTATGTTGTAATTATTATTGTTTTTAAAAGCTAAACGCTGTATAAGATTCAATACTTTCTCTCCCGAAGAGAAGGTTTCTTAACCATTTAAATATTGGACAACGGTCCTGCAAGTAGTAGGGACATGGGGTATACAATAGTGTCAAACCGGGGCTGATTAACCATATGATTGGCCTACTTGGAATCGTTAATATGACTCGTCCCCACGGTCCTTGAATATTTCTCAAAAGGGATTTTCTTGGACAACGTATATGTTTGACGGTTTGAACTGGGTTTCCTCAGTCACGTTGTGAATTTTCCGTCTTCACCGTTCGAAAAGCATATCTGTAGTATCCGCGTGGACGGTTTTTGTTTTATTTGAGCTAGGGGCTTCAGTTTTTTTCAGGTAAGAACATATTATCTAGTTTTGTTTTACATCGATACGTTATGTCCATCGTTATGCTATCCCATAAAACGGTTCATGATGTGTGTAGGCCATTTCCCGGGATAGACTGACCATATTTAATTTTTAAAAGAAAACGCACCTTTTTAATTACAGTCTTCTATTTTTTTTCTACTTCTTTTTATTCTTTTTCTTCTCTACTAAAGACCTTGCTTTGTCGTTGCAAACCTGATTCGCCATTCTTCCCTATTAAAAGCCAGTCTTTTCATGTCTATATATCGACTACAGATAGCTTGTTTTATAATTTCTTCTATATATGCTTTCCTCGGTCTGCCTTTCTACTAGTTCAAATAAAAATATAAGTGCGTGCTGTGTTACTTTTATCGGGACAACGAGACGCAAAGGTCTGGACAATTCCGAAAAATACGAAACGTTTGGTTACCCTATCCTTGGAGCTTGATGGTATAGTACCTAAACCCGGGTTTATGTTTCATATGAGCCGTTGGTGATAAATCCATACGCTTCGGCGGTCGAACCGATGTACCCAAAGGTGTAGAGCGCTCTCGTGATCATGAAATACAATAATTGAGCTCACTGTTTAAAGTATAGCGCTATCTGTGCAACAAAAATAAAATATTTTTTTTTTTTTTGGAATTAATAATGATAGATGATGATTGTCTGTTGTTGGCAACTCTGTTCATCTGGTCTCACCGCACAATAACAACATTATCACGTTGGTACGAACGACTACCGTTTTCAAAATGATCTGCAATAATCTTCATCAAGACAAACAAATTAATGCGACTCCGTGTCTCGTCGACTTAATTTTTTAATTCATCGTCTTCTGTCGTGCGTTTAATTCTATACTATATTATTATTTTCCATTCTTCGATTCCCGTGCGAAATCGATCGAAACATGTCGGCAGATCAGCCATCAACGGTCGAGGGTAAAAATCCTCATATTCATTTGTTTATTTTCCGAATTTTGAAGTCATTTTAATTATTGTTACCAATAGTATTCTGTTCCGTAGTATTATCGGCCTCTAAACTCTGGGTGTTGATGAATTTTGAATATTGTTTATGTACTTTTCAAAATACTTTGTCCTTTATAATATTTGAGTAACATACGAATCTAAATTACTAACTTGCGAATTGAAATGTTCACTATTTTCATTAGGTTTTCGACATTTCACTAGCATATTTTTAATCATGATTCTGCCCTTTGGGTTATTTTATTTACGAAGGTTTTAGTATTTTTTGGGTTAATATACACGTAGACATTAGCTGGGAGCTAATTATATATTATTATATTGTTAATTTTGGAGATTGTTCCTCTAATTGTTTTTGTTCCATTCAGAAGTGTTGCTTATGTTTTAAACTAATTAAAGCAAAAATAAAAAAAATGGGTACACTCTTCCTCTTTTGTCCCTTGTTGCGTGCGGCCGTTGAATCGTAAAGATGGTGATGATTTAGGAATATTTCAAAAAAAAATACTCAAATTAAGTTATACTGTTTATTTGAAAATTCTCTAAGTACAAATAATTTAATTACTTTAACAAATGATCTGGCATAGAGGTGCTCGCTAAAACATGTCTTAAACACATCTGAATATTGGTCTATTCCCAACCCCCTTATATACTCAGGTCTCATGGGAATTGGCCGTGAAAAACTATGGAACAAGGCTATTCCCAATTATTGTTACTACCCTGAGGTGCTAATTACCCAGGTTTCGTGGAATCAGTCTCCCATCTCTATGGAATAAGTTATTTTCAATTACTGTAAAAAGAATTGTTAAATTTGTTATTTTAATGGTTGACCTCGATAATATTACTAATATTCACTCATCTCCCATATTTTGTGCTTTTATTAATTGCATTCATACTTTGAAATGTAGCATTACAGTTCATATATAGTATGTGTTTGTATTACCCTAGGGTCTTAATTATTTCTTTCTATATCGTTCACTCAATTTCTACTATTTGTGATTTATGTGGTCCCTCTATGTATTGGTAATTGTAAGGACCTACATTTATGTATGTCTATAACACCCAATTATACTTAGGTATATAATTGATTTCTTTAATTTAATGATATCTATTTGTTTTTACCTTGATATCATTCTGCATTCACTTTATGTTAATATAATTGATTGAATATTGTGCTGTTATTCTGAAATAATGTGTTACAGATTACAGTTGTTTATGAAGTATTTATAATAATACTTAATGATTGTCATATTTTTTAGAACATTGTTGGTCTTTTTAATTTTTTTATTAATATAATTGAGTAAGGTTGTTGATATATATAATGATATATTGAAAGATACTATTTGCTTTATGTAAAAAAAAAAAACCAAAAACTACATGCAAGCTATATAATTAAACCAATGTAACAAATATAATTTGACCATTAGATGAGTTAAACTTAATACATTTTGAATATTATTAAAAGTTAGGCAAATTAAACTTTGCATTGGTAATACGTATAACAAAAAAGTAGTTGTTTTGAATTTTCAATATGAATTATTTTTGATAAAGTTTGAAAAATTACAAGATTTCATGATGACCTTTCAATAGTTATAATTGTAAAGTATAGTATCAAAATTAAACTAGTAGAGTACTGTAAACTAAAGATTAGCAAAAAGTGTAACAAAAGAGAAAAATTAGACCACTAAATGTATTTTAACTTTCAGACTCTTACATTCCAGGTAGAAATAATTTTTTTTACCTTTGTGTTTGTATAACATCAGAATAATACACTGCATTGTCACTCTAGATTAATAATTTATATTTAATCTATTTTAAGGATAATGAAATAAATGCAAGAAGATAGACAGCAATTATAATCGAGTTTGTAGATATTTTACTTACAAGATAATATAATTTTCTGAAATTGTATACTTAAATCTAGTTTTTAATGAAAAAATAAATTTACCAAATTTTATTAATAATTTTTTCTGAATGTCAAGTATTATTTTTCAAATCATTCAGATCACTTAAGAATTAATTGCTAATCCTAGCTTTTGGCTATAATTTTTGTTTACTAGTTTTAATAATTAGATGAGTGTATTTAAATTAATTCTATGCTATAATGAAGAATACATTTTTAAGCATATTATGAATTATTTATAGTATTTCATACAATAACTATTGTTTATTATTTTTCAGTTGATAGTGATTTAATTGCATTAGCAATGCATAAACTTTCAATTGACAATACAAATGTGGTGGACATTTTAATCGACTGCAACATTTATTTAAGTAAACTGAATCGTTCACAATTGTTAAAAACAGCTAACCTCATAGATTTAGATTTGATATTTGAATGTTTAAATACAACTGATCAGTAAGTTAAAATTTTTTTTAGGTTTTAATTTTCATACTTTTTTATGCAATAATATTTTATTACAGAAAACAGATTGATATCACTTGTTTATTGCTCCAGAAACTTTTACCAATTTTAGCATCAAAACATGCATTTAACAAATTTTCAGTCAGTATTGAACGTTCATTAAAACATCCTAATGAAACAGTAAAAGCCACAATTTTATCAGAAGTAAATTTGATCATTAATTATTATTAACTAATATTAATAAAAATATTATTTTGTGTTTATTTATTTAGTTGGAAAAAATATTAATTATAAATAATGATGTGGATTTACAAGGTGATTTGCCTTGTACTATAGTTGATTGTCTAACAAGTACTAATATAACTGTTTCATACAATGCAGTTAAATGTCTTAAACATTTTCCAAGCGTTGAAACTCTTTCAACTCCTCTAATAGTAACAAAGTTACAAAGTTTATTAGCAATGGATTCAAAAATACGAACCCGAGTCCATGATGTGAGTTATTTAATATGTAAATAAAAAATAACTTTGAATAAGCTGAATATTTTTAAAGAAATATATTGTTAATTGTGATTATTATGGAATATTAATTTTTCCACAGTTATTAATTCATTGGGCTAGGTCAGTTGATGCTTTAGCATTGATTAGCTCCAAAGGTCTCTTTTCAAATTTGGTTAAAGATATCACATATCCTGATGTAATGATGCAAATGGTAACATTACAAATGCTAATTCCTTTGAGCACCATAGAGCATGGTTTTGATTATTTGAATTCTATTGGAATTATAAGTGGTATATATCGTTTACTAAGCTCTAGTCCAAATGAATTAAATGATCCTTCAGCTGCAGTACTTAATCCTAGTGTGTATCAAAATCTAATTATTTTTTATTATTAAAATTGTATTAATATTTCATTTTTAATATTTATAGTTGTATTGGAATTTTTCATTAAAATCACTCAAATCAATCCACATCTCATTCTTACAAATTATCCAAAAGTGTTTGTTGTACTTTATGAGGTTTTAAAAGAAGAAGATAGTTCATTAATAGGAGTTTCTTTAAACTCAATAACTTATTTAGCATCTTCGTGGGATTGTAAAATGGCATTGGATATTCCTACAGCTAGTATGACTTGTGGTTATGAAGGTAAATAAATAAAATGTAATTAAGGTAAAATATAATTTATAATTATTTATTTTATTGTTATTATTATTGAATTGTATTTTTAAACTTAAAATTTAAATCTTTTAAGATGGTTTCTAATATATTTATATTTTTTTAATTTAATATAATAAGGTGATGAAGAATTAGACATTTGGAGTGTATTAATTATTGAGTTAAGTCGTATTGCTTCTGGTACCAAAACTGAAATAAAACCGGGGGCTATTCAAGCAATCACAAAGATAATTCAATTAGAAGTAATTATTTATTTTTTATATATTTTTATTGTTGGTTTTATTATTTATTTATTTATTTGTGTTTTGTTAGGATGGCGAACTTTCTTCAAGAAATGATATGATAACACGTACCCAAAAGTGGTACAAACAAATGAAAAATAATCCAATAAAAAGTATTGTTCATGCTTCATGTGCTTTACCATTCTTAGATTTGCAACAGGCTGGATTTGAAATGTTGCTGGCTCTAGCCGAACAACCATGGGGTCAAGAAGAAATTAAAAAGTGTCCAGGTAAGTTACTTTAAATATTTATAGTACCTCATTTTTATTGATATTATTGATTTCAGCATTATTGGATCTTGTATTGGAAAATTGTCCAGCAGATTCGACTGTGATTCGTGATTTGAAAAAACTTATTATCAAAACTCTCTTGGAGTCTGATACATCGAAAGAAATATTAGGAGAAGATATTTTGTTGTTGATTAAAAATGATGGTTTTATTAAATCTAATACAAGTTCATCCAAATCTGGTATTACTGTAGAAGATATGGCAATTTAATAACGAGTTATTACTTATACCAAAAAGTAATGTATTTTAATGTATTTATGTTTAAGTTTAACACCTACTATTCATAAAAAAAATCTGTTTATCTAAGTTAAAAGTTATTAATTTCATTCAAATTATCTATGCATTTATAAATTATAATTTTATTTTTCAATAACATTTAATGTATTGTAAAGTATATTATTGTTATTGATTAATTTGTAATTAGGTGATTAGATGTACAATATTGAATTATATAATTGTATAAACTGGAAAAAAGACTGAATATACAATGTTTTGCCAATGAAATGTCAATATGATACATAATATACATAAAGTATAATATTTAATGTGTTTTATTTTTTGAAGTGCAATTATGAGTTTTTATAATCATTTCTAAGAGTAAAAAAAATTTATAATTTTAACTTTCATTAGAAAGGATTTAATTTGTATCAGAAGTAATATTTTAGTATTAATTAAAATAATAAATAAAGGTTATTGTCTTATTATGCTTTTTAATTGTTTTATTACTAATATTAGTGTTGCTCAACTTTTTTATGTGTTTTTTTAAAAATAAATATTCACACATTTAAATATCTATTAATAAATAAATCATAATATATTAAGATCATTAATTGTATTTCTTACCCCATGCCACAAACTCATTTAATTAATTCATTGGTCTGCGATAAATTTATTATAAATGAAATTATAAATAGCATTTACTATTATTAATATTTATAAATATCTTGTGTATATTTGTATATCCAATGTTATAGTTTTTACATTTTTATCTGTGGTATAATTTCAGTATTTTTCATGTGTGTAATGTTTCCAACAGGTCATTTTAAAATTTTACATTGCAATTTTTTTTTTTTTATAGATCATGAACAGTATATCAATAAAATAGTAAAATTAATTTAAAAACTTAAAAGATAGTAAAGAATTCATTACTTTATCGAAAAAACCAATAAGTAATGTATAAAAAATTTGAAGATGTATACAGTAAAATAAAAAAAAAAAGATAAGCACTTATTTGCATTTATAATTTATGATTTTTACTAATGTAAATTTTGAACAGTTCAAACGTTCCAAAAAAAATAATTAGTGGGAATTATTAGCATTTAAAATTGTGGAAGAATAATAATTGACTAAAAAATTCGCAGTTTTCACAATATCAATATATTATATACATATATACATAACCTTTTCTTCTTCGTTTTTCTCCCAACTATTTGGGGCCACCCCCGTCCTTAACCTCCACTCGTCTCAATTTTTTACATCCCCTACGCATAGACTAATAGCCTTCATATCATTCTCAATCCTATCCAATCTCTTTTTATGGTCTTTCTCATCCTTTTTCCCTTCAACATTTATTTTCATAAACACTTATTGCTTTTGTTTTCTCTCGCCTCATCACATGCCTAAAACATCAGTATATTTTTTCGCATCTTGTCCACTATCGAGGCTACACCAATACTACCTCTCACATATTCGTTCCTTATTCTATCTTCTCTTGCCACTCCACTCATCCATCTTATTTCCGGAACATTCATACTCTGTTCTATTCTCCTATCAACCGCCCAACATTCCGAACCATATAGCATAGATGATCACACTACACTCCTGTAAAATTTACCTTTCAGTCTCATCGGAATTCTCTTTTTACATAAAATGCCAGACGCTTCTCCATTTCTTCCAACCGTACTCAATCCTATGTTTTATATCCATGCGAATTCCCAGTCCTTTTGTACTAATGATCATAAATATTTAAAGTTTTCGATTTCACTTATCACATCACCGCTTATTGTCAATGGTCTCCTCATAACCTCAACTTCTTGGTATATTCCTCCAAAGTGATATTTAATATACTCTGTTTTATTTTTATTAATTATCAATCTCTTTCCTCCACTCATTGAATCTATTATTAACTTCTTCCAGATTTTCTCCTACCAAAACTATATCATCAGCAAACATCATGCACCATGGTATCTCGCCCTGTATGTTTTTCGTAAGTTTTATTTATATATATAAAAAATATAAAAATGTATGTGCAAGAAATGTTATAGCCCATCTTGCTCAAAGCGTTTATCTAAAAAACAATGTAATAGAAGGTTATAAACAGTTGTAAACATAACATTTAAAACATAAAAATTGAATGAAAAATATTTGATTTTATTTTACATATATTTTTAATAACCTTTAATAGGTACTTACAGATAACACAATGAAAATATAACAATACTTAACTATTTAGGAAACAGTAGGTCATAATTATTAACATACTGTGTTAAATAATAATTAATTTATGACAAAACAGTATATCAACAATCAAAAAGATTATAATGGTATCATTGATAATTTAATTTGTAATTACGTAATAGTTATACTTCAAAAGTTGTGACAACATTTAGGTACGCAAAATAATTAAGTATGTAAAACAAAAATCATAAAATAGAACAACAATTATTAAAATATAATATTATATGTTAAATAATTATAAAAATAACTAACATATACATTTATTATAAATTAATTTATAAATACAGTGCACTCTTGCCACGCTATAGGTGAATACTATTAAGAACCGTCATAGGCAAATCGGGGATCTGCGTACACGACGAAAACGTGTGCTTGAATCATATCACGTCGGCGGACGAGTGATACACAATATTTTAATAATAATAATAGGTAGATGTCAATTAATGATGTGAAAAACCGAAGTGATCAGTTGTTTCGTTTGGTAGGTGATACGAGTTTCAGCAATGAAACGATCGGTGCTTCGAAAGCGATCGATAGAATGAACGCGAAAATGTAAGACACCGTGATTTGTCCCAAAAACAAAATAGCCTGGAAATCACAATAGTTAAAACCTTTCGTATCAGCTGTTAAATCATGACTTAATGAGATTATCGGTCAGTATCGAATAATATTATAATAGACATAACCAAGGCTCGGAATTTATGCGCTAAAAAGTACTCAAATATACTCATGTATATACATCATTGGCAGACGCAGGGAGGGGTTTTGGGGGTTCAACCCCCCCAAATAAATGGATAATTAATTTCAAACGTAGTTATCCTATCTTTTGTACTTAAAAAAAAAAATGAATAGTTCAAAATAAGATTAAAATATGCTAGAAAAAAAATGTTTTGTTAAGAAAAGTGAATTTGTAATAATTTGTAATTTTCCAAAGTTCTAAAATGTATTAGTACTTAAAATTCAAATTTTTGAAATTTCGTGATGGCAATACTTCGTAAAAATAATGCGTGTTTGTAAATAAAAATAAGTAAATATACGTAATCGATATAATATTATTTACAATGGTACATTATGATTGACGAGTTTCCCTAAATTTTGTGTTGTATGATCATGTGATAACGATCGACAATAGTCAATCTATAGTCAATAGTCAATTATTTCATAATAACGGTAATCAGGTCCGTATTTAGAGGTGGCACGGGTAGGCACATGTCCGGGAGCATCAAGTCTCAGGGGCGCAAAATATTTTTGCAAAATTAATTTTAAAAATGATGTACCTAATGAAAAAAAATAAAATAAAACAATAAAAAAAAGAAAATAGTATGTTTTATTATGTTATAATTTGTTTAATTTTAAGTCACACCATGCCAGTCGTCCGAGTAGCATCGCTATTTCGTCGCTCCGCGTACTTTATCTTATTCCGCACGTTTAACTCATTCGTTTTTCTTCGTTTAAAAACCGAAAATCGTCCCAAACTTAAACGCCTTCTTGCGTCTGTTTACTTCTTTTGCCGGATCAGTGGACCAACGAAAATCTCAATTCTGGTGACAAATTTAATTATATCTAATTCGGGCGGCAGTGCGCCGTATGTCCGCCCGTCCGCTATCTAAGCGGCCTTATCGACGTAATTAAATTACAGACCGTGTGCCGTTATCTACATCAGCGTCGACTATGTCGACGCAATCAAAGTCGAAGTCCTCAAATAAAAACAACAGCTCATTACGCATACCCGTTCAGAACAATAATATATTACGTCCGACAACTTCGAACGCAGTAAAATCCAATAATAAACTACCAGATAAATCAGCTCTATGCATTCTTAAAACTAATGAAGGTGACGAAGTTGGTGCCACCTCGTGGCAGACCAAACAAAGCAAGCGCCTATCTTCGCCTGGCCATTCGCCTACAACTAAAGAGCCAAAAATTTCAAATGAAACTAAATCCTCCTTTATCTCGCCAAATCGCTTCGAGCCACTTAATAACACGGAATTTGATGACAGCAACGAAATGATCCACGAGCCTACAAATAATGCACCTCCTCCTCCACCACCAATATTCATATCCTCACCATTGGAATACAACGAGTTCGCAAAATCAATTGCGCTATTTGTTGGCGAAAATGAATTTGAGTTCAAATCTACTGTGAAACATTTGAAACTTACACTTACCTCAATCAGCTCCTATCGTCAAATAATCCACTTACTAAATGAAAGTAAAATTGAATACTTTACCTACCAAGCAAAAGAAGACAAACCATACCGTGTCGCTATTAGAAACCTTCATCCAACAACCGATACAAACTTCATCAAAGATGAACTGTTTCAAACTGTCTTAAAATCTCCTTAAAAAATACTCAAGAAATAGACAAAGCCGTTCAATTTTTAATCACCACAATCCAAGATGCTGCCATGGCCTCCTTAGAATACAACCTCCATCCCAAAAAAAACTCGAAAATTCCTTCTCACATCCAAAGTTTAATAGCCGAAAAGCATAGAGCTAGAGCTCAATGGCAAAGATTTAAATATCCCATAGACAAAGCCAGATTTAATTACTTAAAAAATAAGCTAAGCAGAGCTTTCCAAAATCACACAAATGAAAGTTATCATTCTTACATTCAAAACCTCTCAACCAAAGATTCCTCATTGTGGAAGGCTACAAAAAAATTACTAAATCACAAGCAGCCATCTCCCCCAATTTGCAATTCCAACAACACATGGGCCACCACAGACACCGAAAAAGCAAAAGTTTTTGCATCCCACCTTGCTAGTGTTTTCAAGCCACATGACATCTGTCCGAACCAAACTCAACTTATACGTATTGAGCAATCATTAAATTCCATCTTTCCTATGGCTCTCCCTGCTAAGCACACTAGCCCAGCTGAAGTCATGCACATTATAAAAAAACTGCTATCTAAAAAAGCCCCAGGCCACGACTTGATCAGTAACTTCATAGTCAAAAATCTCTCTAACAAAGCTGTCCTCTTTCTCACCCTCATATTCAACTCATTACTTCGCCTATCCTACTTCCCTAGCACCTGGAAACATTCAAATATAATTCTTATCTCTAAGCCCGACAAGTCACCGCAACTTCCCACCTCTTATAGACCAATAAGCCTCCTTCCTACATTCTCAAAAATATTTGAAAAAATACTTCTGAAAAGACTTCTCCCACTGTCAGACAATGCTAACATCATTCCATATCACCAATTCGGGTTCAGGGCTAAATACTCTACCACCCACCAACTCCTACGTACTGTCGACTTAATATCTTCTAGTATGGAATCCAAGCACTACTGTGCTGCTGTCCTGGACGTGGTCCAAGCCTTTGACAGAGTGTGGCACGATGGCCTACTCTATAAACTTAAAAATTTTCTCTCTGCTCCATATTACCTTATCATAAAGTCTTATCTTGAAAATCGAACCTTCTCAGTTAGAGTGAACAACAGCTACTCGGCTAGCTTTCCTATTTTGGCTGGCGTCCCCCAAGGATCCGACATAGCGCATTTTCTTTATACTATATTTGCACATGACACTCCGAAAACTCTACACACATCATTAGGCACTTACGCCGACGACACAATAATCCTGGCCTCAAATGACAACCCTCAAACTGTGTTTGCTAGGTTACAAAATCACCTAAACATGATTCAGATCTGGTCAAAAAAATGGAAAATAAAAATAAATGACTCCAAATCTTCCTTTATTACCTTTTCACTAAGACCTGGAGACTGCCCTCCAGTTTCATTTAATAATAACTTAATTCCAACAACCCCTGTAGTCAAATACCTGGGCCTAACGTTTGATAAACGACTCACCTGGGCTCAACATCTCAAAAACAAAAAGAAATCTGTAAACTCTAGACTTCACTTGCTCCGTCCACTTCTCCGCTCCAAACTAAACACCAGCAATAAATTGTTAATCTACAAAGATATTTTAAGACCAGTATGGGCATATGGCATCCAGATATGGGGCTCCGCGAAACCCTCAAACCTGCGAATTATACAAGCCTTCCAATCTATATGTCTCCGTCAAATTGTTTCTGCCTCTTGGTATATAAAAAACGCCAATCTTCATAATGACTTAAACGTTCCCACACTTTCTCAGCTAACTAAATCCCACTTCCTCTCATTCCATTCTAAACTAAATCACAATAATAATCCATTAATTAAACGTCTATCTTCTTGAACAATTCCCGATACTCCTAAAAGAAGATTGAAACGATCTTGACCTAGAGATTTCCTTGCTTGATCTGTCGGGTGGTACTACTGAGTACCCTCCCTCTCTGTTATATCAACGCTATTCTCCATCAAAAAAAATACTTATTGTATAAAATGTTTGTATAGATTGTGATTATTCTTTTAATAAAAAAAAAAAAAATTGTTTAATTTGTTAATTAAAAAAAGTATTAAAAGATTTTCATTTATAAATTATATTTTAATATTAAAGAATCTCGATTATGGACGAAATAATATGTTATATTATTATTATTATTTTTTTTTTTTGGGGGGCTAAAAAAATAGTAATATGCCCAGGGGTGCCAAATTTTTAAATACGGGCCTAATGTGCAGTATAATATGTAGTAAGAATTTGGAAAATATGCAAAAATATACAATTTATTGAATAAAACAAAATTTACTTAAATTATACGGGAAAAAAAAAATAAAAATTGCAAACTTGTCTATTGTTGGGTCTTCCTGTTATACAAACTATCTTCATCAAACTTTGATATTCTTAAGTATAATTGTATAAATATTGATAACGACCACTATATTTTGGTACAATATTAATACCTTATTAAATTTAGATAAAAATAAATTCGGGCCGGTCAGCGATCACTATAACGATTTCTCAGTACATTCAAGATTATAATATGTATTGGGAGCAATACCAAAATAACTATTGATGAATTAATTATTTTATCAAACAATATAAAATGTAGAATTTCGATTGTCATATATTTAATACGAGTATTTTCTGTTGAACTTTAAATTTGTAAAAAAAAAATGTTTCGTTAAAACTATGAAATATGCATATAAAAGTTCTTAAACATACATTATGTGAATTCCTAAAAAAAAAAATAACGAAATATGCAAAATTGTGCAACAAAAATTGTTGTACTTGAATACTTTGTATCGAACCAGAATTACAATATGCACTTTCTAAACAAATATGCAAATGCCTTAAGTTCCGAGCCTTGGATATAACTAATAGGCAAGTTAGAATAATGCACAAAAGAGTAAATAATGTTAGAATCACAAAATGTAGAAAAAAAAGTAGTGTTTTAGTAAGCATAAGTGTGTTACAGTTAAAATTGTTTAATATAACACATAGTTTGTATAATAGTCACAAGGGTGGCTTGTAAGCATCTTTTACCCGGGGGGGGGGGGGGGCCCGGGAGAAAAAAATCGGGGGTGGGGGGGGGGGGGGGGGGGTGCCCTCGTAAAAACATTCTGGGTTAGGTGGGTGGCTCAGTGTTCAGTAGTTTCATTGCTAAACAATTAATGTTTTAACGTTAAAACAGCGATGACGAAATCGAGCGAAGTCAGAATAATTTTTTCTCTGTAGGTAGGTAGTTTAAATTAATTAGCCCCGGTAAGGTGTAAATGTTCAAACCACCTTTGGGCCATTTTAGAGTACGTACCACAGTCTCCACGGTCAGGTGAAGCGGAGAGTCGCGTTTCATCACTACGTATCTGATAACGATCGGATGGACGAGGTAAGCGCAATAGGTCGTCCGACTGAATGGTATTAGGAATTTGCACGATAGCAGTTTGTTCATGTAACCTGTACACACAAAATTTAGTTGAGATTAAAACGTATTAATAGGTGTATTTGTAATAAAATTATAAATATGAAAATTAAATACTGTACTTATGTATAGTTTCAGCTTGGACTACATTTTTAGGGACACTAACATAACTTAAGTGATAGAGTTACGCAGGATTTAAAATTAATTTCTTTTTCCGTTAGTTATAGTACAAAGTATTGTGCCTAAGAAATTTACATAAAATCATGTTAAAAATGTTGGAAAAATATCGTTTTTAGTCGGAAATTGTCATTGCTTATATTTATCGATGGGTAATTGGTTAATTATTATACAGATTTTAAAAATATATTATTCAACAACAGCTATACAAACGAGGACCATTTGCTAAATCCGTGTAAAAAAATAGTTGTTGAGTTTATTAATCTTGTTATATAATAACAGCCATTTATAAAAAAAAGAACTTATAATTGAGTATAACGTAATAAACTGGCGTATTGTCACAAGATTAATATTCAAGCAATAAATATAATTCGTGGTACAACAAGAGTTACCTCCGTGTCCGGTGGCACAGGCGATCACTGTCCACGACAAACACAAAGCCCACAAGGTGTGGCTCAACGAGGAATATGCAGCGGCCACAATTGGATGTAGTTCTACTTGATGGAAACTGAATATCAGACTGGTCAACATAGCTGAAGATACAGTCCATCCTGTAACGACTGTCAGCTGAAAAAAAACGCAAAGTTCAAACCGAAGAAAAAAACATATTCCATTCTCGATTCTGGTCCAAATTACCGTGTTCATCTTGATTTTGCACTCGGTTTTAAATAGTAACCAGCCGATGGACATGCCCACAAAGTACGGACCAAGTCTTGTCCACGGTTTGTCGTAAATCTTATCGAACAGGGCCAACGGATCGTCGATACTATCGATAAGTAATTGAATCGAACACGTTATTTTTATTAATATTTAATACTTTAGAAATCATTGCACTCACTTTGGCATGTGTTTGTTGGTGTACGCTATGTAACCAGTAGTGAACCATGAGACGACTGTACAAAACACTAAAGTGGAAGCTGCTAATTTAAAATACCTAGAACAGGACAAGTTTATGTGAATAACGTTTGTTGGATTGTTTCTCTTCGTGTTTGATTTCTTACCGAGCGGACAATATGAGAAGAATGACTCCAAGTATGTAGAATTGGGTGTCGTCTGCTAAGTACCAACTCCAGAGCATGCACTGTTAATAACGATTATTACACGTTAATATTCACAGATTTCATGTATAAAATGATGTGTTTCACTCACCATGTCTTGAACGGGAAACAGCGTATTTATGTATAATAGATTTCTCCACCAATATTTCGGGCAATTTATATGGTCGTTAGTCGGAGGGTCGAATACTGAGTTATAATGAAACCATGTCATTGTCAACTGTACGACGCCCAAAGCGAAGAAATACGGCGCGGTGAGTCTATGTAAATATTCGGACATTTGATTATTTTGGAAAAACGTAATTGGATTAGATTATATATTGTTATGGTGTGCATTATAAACCTGCAAAATCGATAAATCAACAATCCTAAAAATTCGATGAAATTTGACAAGAAACCGGTGGTTTTGGTCAACTTGTTGACGTCAACTTTAGCCGTGGTCCGGAAATAGAGGAACGAAACCAAAAGTCCGCTTGAAAATTAAAAAAACAGTTCATTCGTACCATAAAATATTGACAAAATCAATAGTTGTATAGGTAGGTATACATTATTGATAGTATTGTTGCATAGATGTTACCTGATGAAGAAGAAAGTGTCGACCGAAAAAGTCGCTTTGTTGATCAGTTGAAATAATATATGACGTTCTGCCATCGTACGGAATTCCATATTGTCTGAAACCTATATGATTAGAAATATCGTACTATCGCTAATCGTAACAATCAATAATTACCGGAGTATTTGAAGGACACAATGCACACGTGACCCAAAACAATCCACATCATACTTAGTGATCGGAGCCCGTGTACCGTGGATATTGTGTCTTCGCCGATTGTCTTATCGCATATCTGTTTCAGATTTCTTAGCACCGAAAATGCTAGCAACATATTAACAGCCGTACCTGAAAATGCGATTGAAAATCGTAACAATTCGTTATTATTGGATTTGAACTTTTGATACACTTACAAGTGTAGTTGTGGGGTTTTGATAATGACTCTGAGCTCTTTGAAGATTCTAATTAACATTGAAACACGTTAAAATATAAAGGTAAATCGTGGTTAAATTTAAAATGTACCTGATTCTATGTCAATTTTGGAATGTGTAGAAAGTGGTTGCAACTTTGCGCTACTGACGGCGTATCTGTAATTGTCAAACATGTACCCATTCATTTTTTCATGCTTATTTTTTTCCAGGTACATGTCCAAGGCTGTACCCAAAATCAGGAACACTGTTGTTGTAGCAGATATTATTCTAAAAACAAAAATATAACCGTTCGAATGTATTATGATTGACGACTTAGCCGAGATTTTATTAAAAATTGATTATACTCACATGAGTAGCCAGAAAATTCTATCGTTAAACAAATCATAAGATTCATGTGGTGATTTTACTTTAGCAACTTTGACGTCTCTTTCTGGAATGTCTTGATGCAGCGACTGGCTGATCATCTCGTCCACATCTGCTTTCGTACACGAGTAAGGCATACATAAGCCTAAGTGCTGATATCTTTCCTGGGTATATGCATCAAATACAAAAGTAAATTGTATACATAGTGTAAACTCCCGTTAACTGGGTTGGGGGGGGGGTAGATAACATCTTAGATATATATCGGTATATATATACGGTCGGTTAGCTTAGTGGTATCGCCCGACAAGTGAGAGACTCGGGTTCGATTCCCGGTCTGGTGGCTTAATTTTTGACGTTATCTCGCCCCCGAAGAAGTTAACAACAGTATTTATTAGCTTTTGAAATAGAAACCTTAACAAACTCTGTGGCAGATGGACAAAGGCAACTTAAAAATCAAAAACGTGATTTTTTTTGTAATTAATTTTCTCATTTTAAAACTTTAATGTTTTATATTCTACAATATCATTCAAAATAATTCTAAAAAATTACTATTAAAAAGTTAAAAATCTTAAAGGAGGGGATATGCTTCTTATTTCTCAACGTTATAGATGCCAATGATAGTAGATACATGTACAAATTATTATTATTGGTAATAAGCAGGGTTGGGATTTTATAGCATTTGCATATTTCTTATGAGATGCTTAAAAAATAGCAGAGTAAGCTAAAAATGTGTTTCATGATACAGAGAACTCAAATAAAAAATTTTATTTTGCTTTTTTTGTATATTTTGCGTTTTTTAGTTTATAGTGATTTTTTTGGATTTTTTGAGACTTTTTGCATTTTACCTGTGTTTTAATCAAAATTGGGCATATTTTATGAAATTGTATTTTGGTAAACGTGTTTTTTGATTTTTGTTGATCGAATTTTCAAGATTCAAAATTTTAAATTAAATTATAAATGTATAGATTAAGTAAATAGACCGATTACGCTGACTCTGTACAATTACAGCGATAATAGATAGGTAAGTATAATATAATACTATAATTTCATTTTAGTTATTTGGTTCTAATTTTTGTTATTTGTTGATTTTGTTGGATTTTTTGTCGATTTCTACTAAATCTACTAATAGCCGATTATCAACGAACGAGTGTAGAATTCGCTTTACATAGTCCACATTCGTCTCGTGTGCTCGTATAAAATTATTAAATAATAAATTTTCTTTTTTTTTTGTTGTTTTCATTGCATATTTTTAGAGCTTATTTAGTAATTTTTAAGGTAATATTATAGAGCATATTTATGCAATTTTAAGTGCTATAAAATTCCAACTCTGGTAATAAGTTATTTCAAAATGATTTATTTTAGTAGCTCAGGGAATGCTTGTACTTTTTGCGTTGTATGTGATATTATTTTTTTCGGATTTTATTGATTTATTGAAATTATGAATAACTCTCAAAGTCTAAAATTATAAATAATAGCCATAATTAGGCTGGAGGCATATGCAAATAATTATTGAAAAATAATTTGAATAAATATTACATAAATATGTAGTTAAACAGTAATAATTGGTTTATTAAATCTCACTCTTAATGTAAATTTTAATTTTTTTGAGCTTTGCTGTATAAAAGTTGCCTAAAATATTATGATACCTTGATTTTGTTCAGTTTTTTAAGAACAATGAATATAAATTTAAAAAAAAGGGTTTAAGTAAATTTTAGGACAGAAAATTAAATTGTACAGTTAATCAGTAAGTCGTGTGATTTATATAGAGAGTAAAATTACTAATGTTCTTGTTTTTGTTGTAAATATAAGATATGTTTGTGTAACATGAAACAAGGTATATTCATATTTACCGTATAATTGATTGGAGCTTGCAAGGCGATGTATGTTTTTATTATATTGAATCCAAGTTTAAAGGGTAATTCTTTTTCGTATTCTGATAGTTCGTTGCACAGACTTTTTGATCCTAGCCAAAACGTATTACCCCAGAAATAACCACTGCTGTAATGTCCACTAGCATCTGACACTATATATATAAAAAAAAATATATATTTAAAATACTAATATAGGATTTAAACAATTTCAATATAATTTTAAGCTACGTAAATAAACAATAGAGTAAAATAAAAAGTGTGTTAAAAATAGATAAATAGTTTTAAATCGTATGATAACTCATATTTCAAGTGATTTTTAAATTTGATTGATTGATATCGATTGATTAAAAAGTATAAACATTTAAGCAATAATTAATTGCTCGTGACATTGCTTAGTCGATTTAATAGTATTATATAAACATTGATACTAGATACTAGATTATTATTAGATATTACTAGATACAATCATTATTTCAGTAATAATAATATAATTTGTATAATATAATAATATGCAATGGTTGTTTATTGTTGGTTATACTTGAATGACTTGTAGCTTGGATCATACTATTAATAATTGTTTTTGTAATCTTATACTTAAATTTCAATGGACTCGAGAAAAACAAATAATATAATCATGATGTATTCGCTAGTAGTATTTACGAATACATTTCTACAGTCACGTATTTAAAGTTTAACTTACCTATTATTAATATATTATTTAAGTGCTGCTGTTTCAGGTATCGTACAGATATAGATGTACATATGTTTAATATCTAATTTATAATTTATGTATGTCATGTTATAAATTAAATAAATATAACTTAGGAATAAATACCTAAAAAACTAGTTATGGTGAGCGGTGATTCGTTGGTTGTTATAACTTTTTTTAAATAAACAAGAACAAGGTTTTTAATACAATTTATTAACAATAAAAAGGAAAATAAAATTCCTTAATAATGTTTGTTGTGTTTAGATTTTAAGTTGAAGTTTTATGTTTACTAACGCAAATTAATATTACAAATATGTATATTGTAGTATTATGAAAAAATGTATTAAAAATTATTAAATAATTTAACGTGAATTTTGGTCTTGCCATTTCTTTTACGAACAAAGAGAATATCTTATCTGGTAATACTGCTCAAAGTCACATGTTTATCCTTAGTTGAATCCTTCTGACTGTTTTTTTTTTTTTTTTAATTTAGAGTTGTTCGAAAAATGTTTTTCCCATAAATAAGTTGTTGAAAATATTGTAAAGCGGTTTTTCGAAGCTTAGGATACGCAATCGTTAATATACATAAATTATTTACGATATTCACATCAGACACAAACGCATCCTTACATTTTCGATCGTTTTGTAACCATGAAATATTCTTGTGTATCACTAGGTACTATATCGGTTTTAAATTATTTATTTTTTAGGTATGGCTTGTGGGTAACCACGTAATCATCTTTCATTAGTGCTGAAAGGGATCGCCGAAATAAGATAAAATAAAATAAAATTATTAAAAAAGTCGGAGGGAGATGTAACTCAGAAATTTTTTTTCCTGGGAATTGATTTAAAATTCACATTCATGTAGTTTTTGGCTTCAAAAAAATATTACTATAAACGTAAGTGTCATTTATTATTAATAATTTAGAATAATTCGATAGACTAATAATTGAACTCTAATGTATCAGATAGTTTATTCCCATTTAATATGGAAATTAATAATACAATCTGCTTGCCACCATGTGAGGAGGAAATTGAGGGACGAATAAGAAACTCGTTTGCATACATTCAAAATTTTTTACCTGAAAATCAACAATTCGTTTGCGCACGACGAAATCAGTCGTTTACCTGAAAATAAATAACTCGTTTGCACACAACGACACATTCACACACATGACACGTAAAGTTTCAGTAGGTATGGACTATGGATATGGACGGTACAGTGGTGACTAGTGTGTTGACGACGTAAACTTTAATATGACGTATAAATTTCTAATAATTTGGAATCTCGGTGAGGAAAACAATGTTTTAATATTGATAATTATAAATTTAGTAAATACCGTGTTTTAATGAGTGGATGTTCAAATTTTAGATGCACTAAGAAAAAATGTCCTGCGAGTGTTATTGTTAATTACTCAAACAAAATAATAAAAGTAACCTACTATCATAATCACGAGGAGTATAATAATCAACGATAATAAGCAAATGAGTTCTGACACTAAGGATTTTCATCACAGGTAGCCAAAATATATGTGCGTAATCGAGTTGTACATTTTTGCGCAAACGAGTTGTAGCCGAAACCATAAGGTATCTGGAGAAGATGGTATTTCTGGATAATTATTTAAAGGTATAGGAAACGGTTTACTCGACTATCTATAAAAGAAATTTGGAAAAATGAAGTAATTCCAAAGGAATGAAAAACAACGCTAATATATGATATACGTAAAAAAGACAATAATCAGTTATGTAATAATTATAGAGGCATCGCTTTATTAAGCATTAATTATAAAGTTTTATCCAAATGTATGTTAAATAGAATTAAGGCATGAGCAGAAGACATTCTAGGAGATTATCAAGAGCAGGTTTAGACAAAAAAAAACTCCGCAAGAAAGAAATCTTGGGTGACCACGACTAAGACGAAGTCAGGAAAGATGTTCGAATAGTGGTTCCAAATATTGATTGGCATGTTTTGGTGATGAATAGGGGAAATCACATTAAATATGTTCGAATGTATGATTTCAATGGTCGATTACAAGGAAGAAGAAGAAGATCGACTAATAATAAATAATAATAAATCAATCAATACGATATGGATGTTTCTCGTGTATAAATTAGTAAGAAATTTAGTTTTTAATTGAGTTTTAAATTTGCTAGTCTTGAGATTTTGAAATTGTTTTACTCGAATGAGCTATTTTAATTGTGTCTTAGCTCTTGATAGTTAATTATTTTTATTGGTATCAACGTATACATATATATATATTTAGTAGGATATATAATATTATTTAGAGTATAACTATTAATTGCAGGAAAAGGTTCACTAATCTTGGTTTAAGCAAATATTTCATATTTAAATTTTACATTTTAAATACAATGATGTAATATAATATAAATCGATACAATTATTTTGATGTTATTTAACGATCAAAAAGTATTGAATTTCCACTTTTTTTTCGAAAGTAAAACTACGTTGAAACGGTACATTTTAATACCTATTGATTAAGCTATTTATTATTTAAGTTTCATATCATCAGTATTAGAATCCAATACATTCTTCTGTTTTTATTGCGCAATAATGCAGTCAAGTTGAAGGTCGTGTGAACGTCCAGTAGTTGGACATAGTAGTAGTAGGTAGTTCCGAGTGAGGTCCGAAAATATATTGCATTATTATTATAATACGACGTAACATAACCACCATAATTTCATTGTTTATACTAAATGATGTACAAGTATGGGGCGCTTTTGGGGTATTATGACCTGCAGAATAAACATCGATGGTTATGTCGTAGCCACTTCGTGAAATTAATTTTTTCATGAAACGGAAACAGATTTTTTACACTTCGTGAAATTCGAAAATATTTTACGAAATGGTCACTCCAATATAACATCCTGTAATTTTTTTTTATTATGTGGTCGTTCACTTTGTGTACTGAAATACAACATTTATCGCACACTTCAAGTTTGATTAAATTCATTATTAGTGATTTCAAGTATTTATTTAGTATTTATTTATGACTTCTACAACATATTTCATACATCTAAATCTTAAAATGGACCTTGAAGACATGTACAGCCAGTATGAAGAGAAAAACCTAGAACAAGATATTTTATATTGCAAAATATGTAATAAATAGCGAATCCACAGAAGAAGTTTGTGATTTGTGTAAAACAAATAAAACAATATATGAGGAACGTAAAGATGGGCATGCAGATCAAGAAAAAGTTGCCAAAAATGTTACAGGCATTTAAATATAAGTAAAAATGTATTATAAATAATAAATTAAATAAATAATTAAATTTTTGTTTTTAATATAGGTTAGCAATATTGTAATTCTAGAGTTCAAAATAAATGACTGCATAACAATTTCTGTTCCAAAAGTTAATAGAGGGTAATAATCGGTCCCTGCTCGCATGATTGTTGTCATTATTGAAGAAATAATGAGATGTACCAAGTTGGAACTACACATAGTTTTATTAAAATATTATTTAATTCTGAAAATATGCAGCATGTCACTGCAAATTTTAGCTGAACAAGTTGACTAAAAAAATTATTAACCTTGCGTGAAACTGTCCAAGTTGTATCTGGAGGTTAAGGGTTCAAAAGTTGTTTGTGTAAAAGTGCTAGTGAAACCAAAATATAAAATATGTGTTTATTTTAAAAGTAACTTAAAATGTAATAGCCGTTGTCACAATTCATTATCCTGCTCTAATAAATAAAAAATAATTATAATATTATTAATTAATTATCTGATATAAATATACTATATTACTATGCATAATAATTTAAGTTAAATTTAAATGGGTAGAATAAGTTGTAGAAGTCATAAATAAGTACTTAATTGGAGTGATCATTTCGTGAAATATTTTCGAATTTCGCGAAGTGTAAAAAATCTGTTTCCATTTCATGAAATGGTCAAATTTTCATGAAAAGATTAATTTCATGAAGTGGCTACTACAGTTATACATTTCCTGTATCTTATCGACTGAATTTAATTGTATAATAATTATTACCACTTCACCAGTGGTGCAACAACCGGGATGGATGGCGATAACTTGTAGGGTATGTTTAACGCGAAATAATTGAGTAGCACGTTAATTATATGTAAGTAGTTAGTAGTCAGTACTGAAAAGAAAAATTACTATAAATATTTAAATAGTTAATTCATTTTTATTAATAAATGTATAGTAAATTATTTTTATTTTACAGTTATAAACCACAAACTTATCATTTCCTTGCTGGGGCCCCAAGATCCTAGTTGAGCCACTGCACTTCACCTAATATAGTTAATGTGCTCATTTTAGCAAACATTTATCCAAATAAAGTATAAACATTATTTCGACATACTGCTAAGTGGATTCATTTAAGACCGGATTAAGCACCTATTGGATCCCGGGGCTGAAATTTTATATGACCCTTTTGACAAAACATGCTTTACAAAGCTGCTCACTACGCTACTCGAGTACTTGAGAGGGCCCCAGGACTACCGCCCTGGCTAGACCCCTGCTTAATTCGGCCTTGGATACATTAGGTCTGATGTTTCTTAGATAACTTTCTGAATGTTATATATTCTTAAATTTTAGAATTTATAATGCGTTTAATTTGATGAGAACTAAACTATTTTTCTGGAATTTTTTTTGTTTCAGAAAATGTTGGCCTTCCTCATTTACTCAAATAGTGTTGGATTTTTTTTTCATTATAATATGTGTCCCAGAAATGTAAATCAATTTCATTATTAATCGTCGCCAAAGTACACAATTAATTGTATTGCTTGTCTTAGGCGTGCGCAGACTTCAACTTCCGGTCAAGTCTGGATACAATTAGTGCCACATTACTTAGACAGTGCTCCTAAATTTTTTCTAACACTTCAACATAGTAAATTCTGTTGTAAATTAAAAACAATGTAGTATTTATATTTATACATAAAATCAAGTATTATATTGCTAATTTTTGATATGTATTTTTGAAGTTAAATGTAAAACTTTAAATTTTTTAAAATCAAATGATATAAATACAATTAATTGATTTCCACGAACATATAGACATAATATATATATATACATAAAATATATATAGACATTTTACTATGGTTAGTTTGAATTTTACTATCCTCCCAAAAAAATTCCGGTTAAGTCGAGGCTCGCCCCGTGCGCACTCCTATGTTGTTTGTATTCGAATAAATCACAAGTTTCACCATAAATATTGGATCAAAGATGTACACTTTTCAGGCCGTATATATTAGTTTATACGTATTGTCGGTACACTGGCACATGTTTAATGGAGATGTGAAACTTATATGGAGGTGTGTTTATGTATATGTAATATACGTTTTAATACGTTTTATTAATTTGAATATGAATAGTGATCTGAAAAAATACTGAAAAAATCTTCTCGTAGAAAACTTATTCGACGCAAACTTCGCATATCCGACTGGATAAGTTAAACATGACGTATATTGTATCGATTCAAGTTCTTGAATTATTGGATGATAATTTGTTGAAGTTCTAGGCGATGCACATCAATAGCAATAAAAAAGTACTCGTTTCTTTAAATAAAATACTGAGGTACTGAAAAATTGTCTTCGTCGAGATTATGAAAATTTGTTTATCGACCGCGGTATGGCGATAACGCATTATTGCAATATTAACTACTGAACATAGTTTTTGATTACTATCAATATTGAATTCGATAAAATGTCTTGTTCAAGATATATGAGTATGTTTTGGGTGAAGAATTTCGAATTGAAATTTTCATCAAAAACTTTAGTTCGCGTTCGAAGTTGTCTCATCTTATTTTAGATTCAATTTTCTTCTCATAATTATCAACTCGATTTTGTCTCTTCCGATACTCTCCAGTAGGTGTGTATCTATAATACAACCTGGCAACTTCATGACTTTATTCATAAGCGAATAATTTTATGTGTGTGTAATTGTTTTGTACATGTTACACACAATATTATCATTACACCTATAGAAACTAATGTTAGTGAATCTTAACCTCTTAATAGATTCGAGTTCATTGTATCCACAATACTCGATTAGATACACATAATTTGGTTTATTCAACCAAAAAATGATAAATGTCTATTCTCACGGTCATGAAAGCAAATATTATACTATTATTAATTATTAGAAAATTTGTACAAAATAACTTGTTTGCTCATGTACTGTGTACCTAATTTTGTTTTTATCCGATATTTTGGTTAATACTACTGGCGGATTACACAACAAATGTAGACGAAGTAGTTACATATTTTTTTTCGCAGTTCATTTTGGCTCGAATAAGAGCAAAAAAATATCTTTAGATGTATGAATTTGAATATATATATATATATGTAAATCCTATCATATTTGTATGTCGAATCGCGTTCGATTTGGATCGAACACACACGCACTGACCGTGGTGACACGCGCCATTTGAAACGGGGTCCTTGTTAATTAGCTACACTTTCGATCGATTTCTTAACCACGGATTTGGCCAAGGGGATACCAAATTGAATTACTATGTACCTTTGTGAAACATGTCACACGTATGTGATTGTTTTTCGACTATTGGTGAGTGGCTTTCATTAAATATCGGTTGCTTTTAATTTTAAATTTTTTCAGTCCCTCAACGAAAGCAACAGTGCAATTTTGGTTGTTCGATCTGTAGTGCAAACGATAAATTAGAAACTTTACCTATACTATACTATAGTTATAAATCACGTCTACAATAGATGGGTGATGAATGACGATTGTATAATCCATTATTTTTTTAATATGATATAACTATTATATTATTGTGTGTAAACGGTCACAATGGACGTCGACCCATATAATAGCTATTAGGTATATAAGACACATAAATATTTTATTAGTAATGTACATGTAATATCTGTTTAAAATCGATTTATAATACTGTTGCTCTAGTTTGATAATTGTGACAAAAAGCTTATGAGTTAATAAAAATGATTGCCTAAAATATAAATTTATATACATAAATACATACATATATATATATATACACAAATGTACTCTAACCGGACGTTTAAATTATTTACAAGTATAACATCTTTAGTTAAATTCACCGAATAATTTTACTGAATATTATGTGTAAGACTTGTAATTACATAAATTAAATGTGTAGATATATGTCTAGAATATTTTTACTGCATTTTTACTGATTAATTAATTTATCTACTCTGAGGAATTAAAATTTGTTTGTTTAAATTAAATTGAATTATTTATAAGTAGTTTTTAAAAAATTTTATAAATACCCCAAACGTGAATCTTAAATCATAATTTATTGTTTTTATTCATATTCACACAATATGTAAAAACAATTTAGTTAGCAGCCAATAGCCATTCATTGATGGAATTTCGAGTGAAATAAATAAGTTGTAGTAAAATTATCAAACGAATTATTTCCTTTATACGGAATTTAATCTATTTTCCATTAGCTGTAAATTTAATATATTTTTTAAAATCCATTTGTCATTTTTTTTCCATTCACTTCTATATTATATTCGATAAGTACTGTATATGTTTACTCAACTAATTAATTGATTTTCAGAGCGCAATCAAGCAACAATAATTTCTCTGTATTATTTGGTAATGTTTTCACGTTCATACAACAGTATTAGTGTTTTATTCCATGAACCATTAAATCGTAAAATCATAAAAACACCAATTATACAAAAACAGGATTTGACGAATGATATTGAGCACAGGACACAGTTGAAGGAGTTTTGGTAAAAAAAAAAACCAAACATGACCTTTGATGTCCTAGACATACAGTTCACGGAGTTTGATGGATGCTTTCAGATTACGTTTAAGGAAAACAAATCGTTTGAATTGCCGGACAACATCTATAGGAAATGTCTGAGTCTGGATCGTAAGGTCAAATTAACTATAATATACAGTTAATTATAATTATCATCTTTTTCGGTGGCATATACAAAAAATTAGTAATAATAATTAACTCAATTTTATTTCTCACTGATATAGTTACAAATTATACTGAAATATTTTGTTCACTAAACGAACTACCTCAAACGAACATCGGACAACAATGCTTATAATATAGTGTATATATATTAACTGGAAGCCCGGCATATTTTAAATGAGTATCTTTAAATTCTAAATAATTTTTTCCATCGAATGAACAGTAAAACGATTTAATTTATAAAAAAAACCTCAATTTTAGATTCGATTTTGACTGTCTTATACTGTCTTTACGAGTAATTTTTATATTTTTTATTTTCAAATTGATTGAATTTTGCGAAATAATGGTTAGTAAAAATTAAATTAAATTGTTAAGTTCTCGGTTCATGTAATCCGAAATTATTTTTTTCAAAATACTAAATTACATCGGGTTTTTCCTTTCAGATCCTTTGAGTTTTTACGAACTTTTGGTAAGATTCAAAAACGGTTTTTTCGATGTCTGGTCATGGATCAGAGCAAAGGATAATCAGTATAGACATAGCTTAGTAGATCCGTATGTGCGGATTTTTAATGTGTGTTTCATCGTTTTCGATTTACATATGAATAAATGACTTCGATCATACCAGTAAATTTCTTTTAAATCGTTTTGCGTGAACTGTTCATGAAATGCCTCGAAAACTCCTGGACTATATACTCTCGTTGTAGAGCGTTTCAGTAAGTTCCGACATAAAGTTCGTTATAAAACGTGACAGACATTTCAGTTAAATCGCAAACAACCGACGAGTGATAACTAGACTTACTTTTAAACGCCCACATCTTTCCGTTTCGCAGGGCCGCCTGGTATTGTTCCATGTGGTCCACACACTGCGCCGAAATCCTGGCGGTGGGCGTCCACTCGTAAGGGTCCCAGAACCGAAACAGCTCCTCGGGCCGTGTCACGTTGCCACCGGGCCATCCAGCCCTGCGGTAGCTGGACGAGCGCACATACTCGGGATACTTGACGGACCGCTGTACCACGACAGTGCTGGTGCTGGCCGCCGACGCGTCTTCGTCCGTTCCGGCATCGTACTCCTCGACGGAACCGGAAGCGGCTGGTACCAGGCCACCGGTGCCGGTGGTTAGATGTAGCTGCTCGTCGATCAACCGACCACCGCCACCGCTGCTACTGCTGCCGTGGCCCTCGGAGTCTTCGAATATCACCGAGTCTTCCAGATCCTCGTAGAGTTCGGCCACGCGGCTGCTGTCGCGCGCGAGCGTGGATCGGTCACCTCCACCGCCGTCTTCGCGGTAATCGAGTTCGCCCGAGTCAGCGACCTGCGCGTCGGCTCTGGAATCTGAGTGGCTCGGGCTCGAGGTAGTGGACAATCCGTCTCCGGAGGACGAAGCGGCTGTGGTGGTAGAGTTTTGGTGCAGTTGCAGCCGGAGCGGTTCCGAGCTGTTAGCCGTTACGATTGCAGCGCCGCCGCCGTCGGTCGATGAGGACCCAGACGGGCGCAGCACCAGCACCGCGACCACAAGCCAACAGCAGAGCGATTTTTTCATCGTAGCTCTCTCGTCGTGCTCTCGTTTATATTTCGATACACCGATAATATAATACGAGACTCTTGACGACACTCGTACGCAATGCACCGGACACAAACGGAGTGTTCCCGGACTGTTAACGCGACACTTATGTGTGTACTGCAATCACTGCAGGTTATTTTATTGATCGGAAGAGGAGAGGAAGCACTCGTTAAATCGGGTTTATCGTACAATCTGTTGAGCTACAACCAAACACGATGTTTACGTATACAATGCAAGTACAATGCAATATTATAATAATGTCGTGTTGTAGTAGTCGGTCGTGAACTCGCGCGCGCTACAACGACGACGACTGTTCAGCGTCGGATATGCCGGTAAACTGAAACCCGTTTCGGTACCGATCGATCGCGTCACGTACAAAATACGGACCAACTCTTGAGGCGGCGACGGAGGTGGTTTTTTTGTCCGAGGTCTCGTTCCGTCAGGCCGGTGGGAAACCCAACGGTATTTGCCTATATCGTTGGTGGGATCTGGTTTTTCAAAACTCGGTTTTCCCTTACCCGTCCGACTCCAATCCCCTCTCCGTTCTTCTTTATCCCACTCGTGTTCCATAATTTCATTATTTCTACGCATAATTATGACCCTTCGATCGGAGTTCAACGGCGGAGCGCCGAAGTGGGATGAGACGGGTTGAGAGTTGAGAAATGAGAATTACATTAGGTTTTTGTATTGGATTTGAAATACAAGCAATGTCGTGAACTTATATTTTCGGTAAATCCAGATCGTCTACACGCACAAGGCATCAATCCTTTTATATAACGAAAACTGCGACATATTGGTTTTGAATTAATGCGAACAGTTATCAAGTAACAGTAAAATACGTCTTGGTTTTGTTATTTCTCCAACCCATTCTTGTACGAATTAGACTAGTCATCCGAGCATTTGAATTAGCGTAATAATCGACAGGCAATGTTATAATGCCCCAAAAACTTACTGTACTCTTATCTGTAATAATTAGTGATGTGAGTTTGTATTATACAGTGGTATAAAACTGTATTATACAAGATATTATACACATGGTATAAAATTATTTTATATAGACAGTATAAAAAAAAATGAAAGCGTTATTTTTAATTATTTTTAGTAACTCAACTATTAATTTTTTTAGTTGTACTTATAGAATGGATCTTCAGTAAAGTACAGTATTATTATAAAAATTAAAAATATACAATATTATTGTACTATTATAATATTCAAATATTGTAAATATATGGGTACAATGAGTATATAACTATAAAAGTATTAAGTATAGTTTATAATTCTCTCTTTATTTCTATTTAAAAAATATGTATTTCTATGTATAACATACATACGTATGTTACCTATATCATAATTGCAAATCGATAGCATGACTAAATATTGATTTGGTGAATAATTCTTGTTTTATGTGTTTTTTTAATTTTTTCTAACTTTTTAGCCATTTTTTTCAATTATTTCATTTTAAAATAATTTATATTTCATAATTAACAATCGGGTTACCTTTGTTAAATTTCTTACAATTTAAGGTACTGTAAGGTTCTATACGGTATAATAATGGTATAATACCGGTATAATAGAGTATTATGCAAAAAATAAATAAAATACCGTATTTTAACATCTCTAGTAATAATTATAGCACATTTTTTATCCGTATTTATTATCCATTATAATTAATTGTAAGGCTTTTGATTACTGGGACTCAAGTCTTTTTTTTCCCTCTGATAACGACGTATGGTTTTCGACGTTTAACTAAAATACAAATTCACTAAGTTATAGCAAAGCCCCAAAACCTGTGTTCTTCAACATCTCTATTACCGCGTCTTCACTGCCTTTATATAATACTGACTCTACTATAGTAGACCTTTCACTATCTTTCTCAATCCAATGTCCAGTTGATTGTTGCATTTTTATTACGTTTATTTTTCCGCAGTGGCTTTCATTCTGATCTTCGGTCTATATCAATAGTGGTCGAATTTTGTTATTTTCCCCTTATGTCGTATAATATTTTATTACGTCCTTTTCTATTCGATTTTCATTTATACCCCCGACCGTTTTTAAATTAATTATGAAGTATAATTAATTAATTCACGTTGTACATGTGTGCGATTGAGTTTTCCATACGACCGTATAGACGACACATTTCTTCTCATGTATTTTTTCGTATGTCCTAGGTTACAATGGCATGCGCAGTATTTTTTGCGGAAGATATTAATTTCAGTAAATTTAAATGCGCAATAAATTAATTGTTTGTGCATAACCGAAAAAAAATTAATGTACTTGTTGTTATGTTAAATGTATTTCAAAATCAATTATCAGTTAAATTATGTACTTTGTCGTATGTATACGTATGTATTCGTAAGACTCGGTGTATCTTAATACTTTAGAAATTTCATTGTAATATATACCGTATGTGTTGCTATGGACAATGATTTTATTTCACCATCCCATACGCAGAATTTTCTATCTTGCAAATCAATGTGAACATTACATTGTTATCTAATTTTCCCTCTTGGTCCTAGGTTTCGATTTTAATTATCAAATAACAGTAATGAGTCATGCTCCATGTACGCTTACACGTTCACAATAATTATTATTTCAGGACATTTAGTTGATTATGTTAAATTAGTTTTTCTTGAAACGAGATATCAGAATGTAATCTCCTCGAAAGTTTGTCGCACAACGTACTGTTGATAGAAGTTTTTGATTTATAATCATTATTTTTGTTTAAGATATTAGGTACGAATGCGAAATCGTGATTATTAATATGAAAATTCTTTCAATTTACCTCTAAATTATTGATAATTGTTTCGATCTGCCCACAACTTCTTTAGTGTTAATTTTAAAAGTAACACAACAGTTTCATAATAATTTTTATATTTCTCCATTATCATATAAAAAGAAAAACTGGGTTCAATAATCAGTTCTGTCACTAGATTTTTTATGTAGATGGGGAAACTTGTATGGGAGGCAAATCTTCAGCTGCATTTATGTATTTTTCTAGTGTTATATAAATAATAAATAACAAACATTTGAAGATAAAATATCAATGGGTGACTGCCTCACTCATCTCTCACTGAAAACGTCTCTGACAATAATAGATCTACTCGGCTAGACTTAAGAAACGAAACATAAAATATGTGGAAAGTATGCAGCTGCGTAGCTCGTTTTTAAATTAATCTATATTTATATATTTGAATATATATTTTACATGAAATATTGATACGATTATCGTCTAATTTTTTTGTGTTGTTTTGATGTTATTTTTGCAGTAGATTTATAGTACTTATCTGTCTCAATAGAAAATACGATTTATAGCTTAAAGGTTCACGCATTGATACATCTAATAATTTCAATTAAATAATATCATCAGAGGCCGATGGATAGTAAAATGTTTAAATTTTTAAATTTTATCAATAAAGCGGATTTTGGAGTAAAATTTCAATTTGAAAATATGGTACATTAACTGTCCGCCCATCGAGTATAAATGTATGGAACATGGAACTTGGGACGATATTTTGTTGCTTAGCCAATCACATGTATGCCTTCTATCGATAACGAACGAATTGGGTACGTACAAACACACGTAATAATATTCATGCTTATAGGTACCACTGTACAACAAAAATCAATATTATTAATTATCGCAGCACACCGCGGTATAATAGTTTAACTATATATGTGTTACATGTTTCGATGCAGCGTTGTTGTCCAAGATGCATATCATGTGCGTTTGTAGCGTTGGTAACATCAAAATATTCCATTTCGACATTATATTTGTTTAATTTTTACTATTATCAATGCCGTGCGTATTGGAGGAACAATGATTTGCAAATATATTTTCATCTGAGATTCTAACAGTGGTTTTAAGAATATTCCTAGTTAAAGTATCTTGAATGTGCCTTCTATTTTTTTAATTTTTATATATAGAGCTTTCAATACTAGACTATAACAGCTCGACAATTAAATACTAAGAGGTTTATTTATTATAAATATAATGCAATATAATATATTGTTTAATGCAAATAAAATGTGTTGTGAAAAACAACATTCGTTGAGGAATGTAATAGATACTACATATTAATAAGAAAAAAAAAACACGTATAAATAGCGTTGGTGACCATTACGGGTTAGCAATAATATTCTAAATCGCCTTAGCGGTGACCATATTTTTAATTGAATATACTGGTTTTATCCTCATCCGTGTCGTAATTATAATAATTTCTGCATGCGTGAATGTGTGTTTGTGTACGTTATACAGTAGTGAACCTAAGTTTCGTGTACGTCGCGTTGACAAACGAGAACACCGATTGATTATTATAGAGGTGATTTTTATTGTCAATGTTTGTGTTCTGTGATATTGTTTTTTGTTCCACGCATGTCTGCGGGCAGCAGAATTAAGGCTTCTGTTTACTTGATGGTGGAAATACGGGAAAGGATCGTTGATCCGGGAATGGAGGGTTCGACCCACGGGAAATGTTCCCTATCTCCTAAAAACTGTTCTAACCACTAAAAACATTCTGTTCACAGTGTTTGATTTTTGATTTAATCGATTGATAACTAATAATATAGTATATTCGTAAGAAGTTGCACTCGTTGAATACATATAGACAAGCATTGCTTGCTGCGGTCTTGAACGCGTCGCTGACGTCATGTTTTGTCCGACGTTTGAAATTGTGCGAATTCCTTAAAGTTCGTTGTTCTTTTAAAATTACAAGACGTATCTGATGCTCTACGATGAGGCATGTCTCTTAGCGTACGTTGTATTTAAAAACGGTATCGTCACATTATAATTGGTTTGCGATTTGCGAGAAAAAGAGGCGCATGTGATCGGTGATCTTTATTTGTTTTGTTATTAAACGTACATTTTCCACTTCACGCTTTGATTATTATTTAAAATTATTATAGTTTTCGAAAATTTGCAAAAAAAAAAAAATAATCTGATCCGATTCACATTTATTTTTAAGTTTAACTTTGAAAATCACGAGCGAGCGTAAAATTAAAACGAGCGGTTGTCGATTCTAACGTCAAGACGTATAATACAGAGGTACGACGAACCTAATACGTTTGTGGAATTCGTTGTGTACGCGGAGGAGATGTGTGGTTGTTTTCGTGACCGCAGATCGAGCATCAGAACCAACATCGAACCATCAATAGAAACATAACTGTTCGTTATCCGAGAAGCGCAATAACGATGATTTTTCGAAAAATATGGTTATTTTCTGAATGCAGTGGTTTTTTTTCTTCGAATAATCCGTTCTATTAATAATGAAACATTCTTTAAGGACCACTAAAACGTAAGTTAAGGAACACGACTACATTATGAATGAAATCTCGCGTTCTATATAGCTTATGTA